ACTTTAAGTTTGAAATAGGTTTTCAAAATGGCGGCCGTGGCGGCCATATTGGATTTCTGATCGACCCGAAAAATAACAACACTTTGTCAGGACCATGAGGTGATCATTCCTACCAACTTTCAGTTCAATCGGCCCAGCAGAACTTGACTTTAAGTTTGAAATGTAAAATGTTAACGGACGACGGACGACGACGGACGACGGACGACGACGGACGAAAACGGATAGCAATAGGTCACTTGAGCTAAAGCTCAGGTGACCTAAAAAGAGAATCTTAGAAAAGCAATTTGCCGCTACCACAACTTTTCAATAGATTTTAAAAATAAAATTTATCATGACAGCAAATTTAACATTTCTATGCTATCTACAATGAATCTGTTCCATAAAATCATTTGGGCTTGAAAGTTAGGAAGTTAATACATCAACTTCACAGGAACAAAGATTATTCAAATTCTGTCTATATCAAGTCAGTAACTCTAAGTTTAAGCTTTGATAATGATTTCCATGCCATACTTACCACCACTGCTATTATAGATATGCCCACTGCACACACAATGAAGAACTGGTCCCGCAGGAGGTCCACTATAGCTTCACCACAACCCTGTAAAATAATAACAGCTCAATCATTATCACAGTTGAAACTGGACAAACATCTTATTGTTATTTGTAACTAGTGATGCTAATAAGCGGCACTATTAGTCACAAAACTGCTGTGTTGTCAATTGGTCACAATACTTTTATGTGTTGCCACTGGGTCACAAAACTGCTATGTGTTGCCACTGGGTCACAAAACTATTATGTGTTGCCACTTGGTCAAAATACTGCTATGTGTTGTCAATTGGTCACACTACTTTTATGTGTTGCCACTGGGTCACAAAACTATTATGTGTTGCCACTTGGTCACAATACTGTTATGTGTTGTCACTTGGTCACAAAACTGCTTTTTGTTGCCACTTGGTCACAAAACTGCTATATGTTGCCACTTGGTCACAATACTGTCACCACTTACCGGTAGTCATAATACTGCTATGTGTTGCCATTAACTGGTATTCAAAATATTGCTGTGTGTTGCCACTTAGTCACAATACTGTTATGTGTTGCCACTTAGTCACAATACTGTTATGTGTTGCTTATTAGATACAATACTGTTGTATTGCCACTTGGTCACAATACTGCTATATGTGGCCACTGGGTCACAAAACTATTATTTGTTGCCACTTGGTCACAATACTGCTATGTGTTGCCACTCAGTCACAATACTGCTGTGTTGCCACTTGGTCACAATATTGTTGTGTTGCCACTTAGTCACAATACTGCTATGTGTTGCCACTTAGTCACAAAACTGTTAAGTGTTGCCACTTGGTCACAAACCTGTTAAGTGTTGCCACTTGGTCACAAACCTGTTATGTGTTGCCACTTACCAGTAGTCACAATACTGCTATGTGTTGCCACTTGGTCACAAAACTGTTATGTGTTGCCACTTACTGGTAGTCACAATATTGATGTGTTGCCACTTACCGGTAGTCACAATACTGCTATGTGTTGCCACTTACCGGTATTCAAAATATTGCTATGTGTTGCCACTTGGTCACAATACTACTATGTGTTGCCACTTAGTCACAATACTGTTATGTGTTGCCAGTTAGTCACAATACTGTTGTGTTGCCACTTAGTCACAATACTGCTATGTGTTGCCACTGGGTCACAAAATTATTATGTGTTGCCACTTGGTCACAATACTGTTGTGTTGCCACTTAGTCACAATATTGCTATGTGTTACCACTCAGTCACAAAACTGTTATGTGTTGCCACTTACCGGTAGTCACAATACTGATGTGTTGCAACTTACCGGTAGTCACAATACTGCTATGTGTTGCCACTTGGTCACAAAACTGCTATGTGTTGCCACTTGGTCACAAAACTGCTATGTGTCGCCACTAGGTCACACTACTGCTATGTGTTGCCACTTGGTCACAATACTGCTGTGATGCCACTTGGTACCGGTAGTCACAAAAATGCTATGTGTTGCCACTTGGTCACAAAACTGCTGTGTTGTCACTAGGTCACAAAATTATTATGTGTTGCCACTGGGTCACAAAACTACTATGTGTTGCCACTGGGTCACAAAACTACTATGTGTTGCCACTTGGTTACAATACTGCTTTGTTGCCTCTTGGTTACAATACTGCTTTGTTGCCACTTGGTCACAAAACTATTATGTGTTGCCACTGGGTCTCAATACTGCTATGTGTTGCCACTTGGTTACAATACTGCTATGTTGCCACTGGGTCACAAAACTCTTATGTGTTGCCACTGGGTCACAAAACTATAATGTGTTGCCACTGGGTCACACAACTGCTATGTGTTGCCACTTGGTCACAAAACTGCTATGTGTTGCCACTGGGTCACAAAACATTTATGTGTTGCCACTGGGTCACAATACTGCTATGTGTTGCCACATGTTGCCACTGGGTCACAAAACTCTTATGTGTTGCCACTGGGTCACAAAACATTTATGTTTTGCCACTGGGTCACAATACTTCTGTGTTGTCACTTGGTTACAATACTGCTATGTGTTACCACTTAGTCAATTATGTGTTGCCACTGGGTCACAAAACATTTATGTGTTGCCACTGGGTCACAATACTTCTGTGTTGTCACTTGGTTACAATACTGCTATGTGTTACCACTTAGTCAATTATGTGTTGCCACTGGGTCACAAGACTACTATGTGTTGCCACTGGGTCACAAAACTGCTATGTGTTGCCACTTGGGCACAATACTGCTATGTGTTGCCACTTTCCGGTAATCACAATACTGCTATGTGTTGCCACATGTTGCCACTGGGTCACAAAACTCTTATGTGTTGCCACTGGGTCACAAAACATTTATGTGTTGCCACTGGGTCACAATACTTCTGTGTTGTCACTTGGTTACAATACTGCTATGTTGCCACTTGGTCACAATACTGCCATGTGTTGCCACTTGGTTACAATATTGCTATGTGTTACCACTTAGTCACACTACTGCTATGTGTTGCCACGTGGTCACAAAACTGCTATGTGTTGCGACTTGGTCACAATACTGCTATGTGTGCTATGTGTTGCCACTTGGTCACAAAACTGTTATGTGTTGCCACTTACCGGTAGTCACAATACTGCTATGTGTTGCCACTTAACTACTATGTGTTGCAACTTGGTTACAATACTGCTTTGTTGCCACTTGGTCACAAAACTGCTGTGTTGTCACTAGGTCACAAAATTATTATGTGTTGCCACTGGGTCACACAACTGTTATGTGTTGCCACTTGGTCAGAATACTGCTATGTGTTGCCACTTGGTTACAATATGTGTTGCCACTGGGTCACAATACTGCTATGTGTTGCCACATGTTGCCACTGGGTCACAAAACTCTTATGTGTTGCCACTGGGTCACAAAACTGCTATGTGTTGCCACTGGGTCACAAAACATTTATGTTTTGCCACTGGGTCACAATACTTCTGTGTTGTCACTTGGTTACAATACTGCTATGTGTTGCCACTTTCCGGTAATCACAATACTGCTATGTGTTGCCACTTAACTACTATGTGTTGCAACTTGGTTACAATACTGCTTTGTTGCCTCTTGGTTACAATACTGCTTTGTTGCCACTTGGTCACAAAACTATTTTGTGTTGCCACTGGGTCACAAAACTATTATGTGTACAATATTGCTATGTGTTCCCACTCAGTCACAAAACTGTTATGTGTTGCCACTTACCGGTAGTCACAATACTGATGTGTTGCAACTTACCGGTAGTCACAATACTGCTATGTGTTGCCACTTGGTCACAAAACTGCTATGTGTTGCCACTTGGTCACAATACTGCTATGTGTTGCGACTTACTGGAAGTCACAATACTGTTATGTGTTGCCCCTTACCGGTAGTCACAAAACTGCTATGTGTTGCCACTTGGTCACAATACTGCCATGTGTTGCCACTTGGTTACAATATTGCTATGTGTTACCACTTAGTCACAATACTGCTATGTGGTGCCGCTTGGTTACAATACTGCTAAGTAATGCCACTGGGACACAAAACTGTTATGTGTTGCCACTTGGTTACAATATTGCTATGTTTTACCACTTAGTCACAAAACTTCTATGTGTTGCCACTTGGTCAAAATACTGCTATGTGTTGCCACTTGGTCACAATACTGCTATGTGTTGCCACTTGGTTACAATATTGCTATGTGTTACCACTTAGTCACAAAACTGCTATGTGTTGCCACTTGGTCATAATACTGTTGTGTTGCCACTTAACGGTAGTCACAATACTGCTATGTGGTGCCACTTGGTTACAATACTGCTAAGTATTGCCACTGGGTCACAAAACTGTTATGTGTTGCCATTGGGTCACAAAACTGCTGTGTTGCCACTTGGTCACAAAACTGCTATGTGTTGCCACTTGGTTACAATACTGCTGTGTGCCACTTGGTTACAATACTGCTATGTATTGCCACTGGGTCACAAAACTATTATGTGTTGCCACTGGGTCACAAAACTGCTATGTGTTGCCACTTGGTTACAATATTGCTGTGTTGCCTCTTGGTCACAATACTGCTGTGTTGCCACTTGTGACACAATACTACTATGTGTTGCCACTTGGTTACAATACTGCTATGTGTTACCACTTAGTCACAATACTGCTATGTGTTGCCACTTGGTCACAATACTGCTATGTGTTGCCACTTGGTTACAATACTGCTGTGTTGCCACTGGGTCACAAAACTGCTGTGTTGCCACTTGGTCACAAAACTGCTGTGTGTTGCCACTTGGTCACAATACTGCTATGTGTTGCCACTTACTGGAAGTCACAATACTGTTATGTGTTGCCCCTTACCGGTAGTCACAATACTGCTATGGGTTGCCACTTCGTCACAATACTGCTATGTGTTGCCACTTACCGGTAGTCACAATACTGCTATGTGTTGCCACTAACCGGTATTCAAAATATTGCTATGTGTTGCCACTTGGTCACAATACTGCTATGTGTTGCCACTTGGTCACAAACCTGTTGTGTGTTGCCACTTGCAGGTAGTCACAATACTGCTATGTGTTGCCACTTACCGGTAGTCACAATACTGCTATGTATTGCCACTTGGTCACAAAACTGTTGTGTTGCCACTTACCGTTAGTCACAATACTGCTATGTATTGCCACTTGGTCACAAAACTGCTATGTGTTGCCACTTGGTCACAATACTGTCAAGTGTTGCCACTTAGTCACAAAACTGTTAAGTGTTGCCACTTAGTCACAAAACTGTTATGTGTTGCCACTTGGTCACAATACTGTTATGTGTTGCCACTTACCGGTAGTCACAATACTGCTATGTGTTGCCAAGTTTTGTAAATCTGGAAATGGATTCGTTCCACTGACTGAAGTAAAGCTTACCGTTTTGTAAATCTCTTCTGTGGGTTCGTTCCGCTGACTGGAGAGGACACTGTCTTTGTACATTTTACAGTACTTGCTGTCAGGTGTTAAGGAGGCCCTGATGTACCAGTAGCTGCTACAGCAGCTGAGCGGGGCCGTGTTCTTACTGTTGGCTTCCACGCCAGCATCTGTGTTATCTATGACCGTTACCCAGTCCGATCCCTTGTAGTCCTCGAAGCTCACACCCCCACAGCAGTGAAGCTGTTGTAGAAAAGAAACACAGATACAGACTTTGCAGATATCTAAATTCCAAAATCATCCAACATTTCAATTTTTTGACATTAGACACGAAAGATTCTAAAAAATATTTGTAGTATAATACATGGTCAACAATAAGTATATCATATAGACTCTAAATTTCTGATACATACAATTTATATATATTATTCATGGTAATATTGTTATACTTAAGATACCACTCAAGGAATTTCTTATTTCATTTTAAAGTGGCAGTTCGTAATTAATTGTATATAAAGGATTACAGTCGCTTTCTAGCTTCGCGCTAAAAAGAATTTCTCTTTAGCTCAGTGGTAGAGCGTCCAACTTGATAGTCCGGGGTCAGTGATTCGATCCCTAGTGGAAGTAGACCATGCTCTTTTAAGTACCTGTTACATTTAAAACAACAGAACCGCAAGCTGTACAAAATCTACCCCAACAAATCTGATTGATAGTCCGGCGTACATATCTACTTAATCTTATGCCAGAGTGTCGAAAGCTGAACTTGCATTTGTATATAAAAACAAGAAGTCTAAAACATGGTGTTCAGAAAAAAACACTTTTATGAGATTTCATTAAATATATGACTTTGATTTTCAAGTGATCTTGAGAGACACATGCCAGGTTGAAAAGTTAAGTCATTTAGCCGCAGACAAGCCATTACTTTCCAATTAGCATATATGTATAGATTCTGTAGCTGTGACCTTGACCATATCTGACCTTGTCTTTCATCTAGTTTTGAAGGATTGACATCAGGAATACTTGTGCTTTGTTCATGATATACCAACTGAATATGGCTAGCAACTCTTGTCATGAACGAACAAATATTGACTCTATTTACAAGGGAATGCCTTAGTTTAGGAATAATTTTCAGTGATAGCTTGGTAACACTTCTTAACAGACAAACTCAGCTTTAGTTTTTAAGCATACAAAGTGAGTTATGTATATAATTAGGTAAAATGCATGTATTAACCGTTGTAGCTCTATACAGTACCCAGATACTACAGTGAAATCAGTATTTTCGTGGGGACCAAATTTCCTGATTTCCTCATAAGTCACCATTTTGTGGGTACTTGAATTCGTTGATTATGAGTACTCACTAAAAGGGAGAATTGTTTTAAATCAAACTTGTAATCTTAACTCTGCGGACCTTTGAATTTGTGGATGAAGATAACCCATGAACTAATGAAATTTAAAAAACTCCACGAAAATTAGTGATTTCACAGCGAGTTTCGTGTGATGGTTACTAGAGTTTGGAGTTGTCGGTCTGCACTGTAAGCCAGTGATGAAGTCTGGCTGGACAGAGACGGCCAATTTAACACTAGCCCAGACTGACCAATACATCACAGACCACAGGGAATAGAAGTATTAATACAATCAGTACTCCAGGACCTTCTGACCGTTGATCTGTGTGAGGACAACTGACCACCCTATATACACACACTTCTTTTCTTATCCGCATCAACATGACAAAGAAGATATTACACTTCCTTATCTACCAAATAAATAATTCCAACCCCATGCTAGTGTTTTTGTAGTTCATAATATTTTTGTAGTTCATAATAGACATTAGCTGTGGTGAATTATGCTAAAAGTAAATGAATTATGGGATATCATCAACCATAATCACCTTTGGTCGAGACACTGGTCATTTGCACTCTTTGCTTCTAAAAGGAAACAGATGTTGTCGAAAACTTTCAAAATAAGTTTTCAATTACTGTTTGTGTTTTAAAACAAACTTATCATCGAATTATGGGATAGATTTACAAAAATGATAGACTTCATTTGTATACACTGGTACTAAAAATACATCGTTGATATATCTTTAACTCATTCACCCCTACATATTTAAACTGGACTTGCCCAGTCTTTTATTTGGTAAGGTTCAAATGTGACTTTAGGGGGTGAATGGGTTAATTAATAACACAACAAAATGTGGGAAGAATACACAAAATATACTGGGTTCTGTCATAACCATGTTTCGCTATAGTCTCATGAATTTGGATAGGATTACACATATTGAACATAGGGTAATAAAAGTTTGTTATAGAGACAGGAAGTAGAATGCAATATAGCTGTCACTCATGAGTGTCCTTGAAATTCCTGGGCTTATGCTTTCTCATGTTATCTATACATCCCTGTAATATTTCGTGATGACAATGAAAGCTCCGTAAATGCCACCTTTCGGAATGACACAAATAGACTAAAGTTTGATTCTTTTGATGAACATCAAAATGATCATGCTGCACCATAACGGCAAAATTAACTGGCTATGAAGTCGGATGTTGCTCTTCTGTACTCTTCAAATGCTTGTTATATCAGCTGCCTCTAGAAATTGCTCAGCTCAAATAGCTAACTGTGTGCCTACGATTTAGTCGTGACATATTCCAGGTGTGCAGAGAAGGTAAAAGATCAGAACCCCTGGAATTTCGAGGATGGACAAGAGCACTGAGGTAAGAGTAGCTGGGATACCTACCTCCACCTGCATGTAGTCCAGAGCACTAGTAATGGCGTCAACCTTCCCGTACTGGGTCCGCACTATGGTCGTCATTAACTGGGATTTCTGTATTGTATTTTCTACCTGTCGTCAAGGAAACCAGGCCGCATATTTCAAAATTCTATACACATGTACTTATAATATTTTAAAGGTACATATTTAGTAGTTGGTAGTCGTATTTTAATGCTTTTCGCACTATAAAAATTGCGCTATATTATCATTGCTCCCATTGAAGTTCCTGTATATTGTTCATATATCTATCACATAGGGTATTTTGTGGGTGCAAGAAATAATCAATGAACTTACCCTGGTAGCTGGTAAAGTTTCTTTCTTAATGCACTAAACTTTGAGTGCGCTAAAATACTGGTAAGTATGTCTACAGTACATAAACTAGAGTTGGACAAAACATGCATTTGTGTACTTGATAACATTAACACTTTCACCACGGTAGCTGGGCTTCGATTCCCCAGATTGAATGTGAAAAGGCATGAAGTGTATAGTAAGTTTATTACAGATGTTTTATGAGCATTATAAAACTTGACAACCCGATTCCATTAACCCCTATCTTTGTTGTGTGGTATAATCTAAGACTATCCTTACAAAATTGTTTGTTTGCAATTTCTCTACTCACATTTTTTTCAAAGGGTGGGTAGGTAGGTAGGAAGGAATGGGTTTTTTTTATTACAGACCCCATATACCTATATAAAACCCCTAAGTGTCATTGATTTTTCATAAACAAAATTGTTGTTACCAAAATGAACAACAACAAAAGTATTTGAATAGGTGCCATTTTCAGTGAGCTGTTCAGAAAACTGCAAACAAACTTTTTTAATGATGGCCTTTATCCAATTAATTCATTCACCCCTGAAAATTCATAATGAACTATTCCAACCTTTGAACAGGAAGAGTTCAAATGTGTCTTCAGGGGGAAATGAGTTAATCTGTTGCAGAGACTAGTTTATCCTAATGGCATTTTACACTGCTATTTGGTCAGAAAATGAATCATTGTAAGTAGGTAACAGACATACAAAATGTATTTAGATTATCATATTAAGGAAAACTCATAAACGTTGGTATAGAGGAGTACAATTGCTGTGATTATGTTATAACTCACCTCCACTCTGTAAAAGAAGCCCAACACAACACTGACTACTAGCAGCAAAAATAACAGCACGGAAAAGACTAGAAACTGAAACAAAAAATACAATCTTATTAAAGAACACATTTTAGTGAATGTTCAGCAGAAAATGGCAGTGATGTAATGGTGTAATAATGGCAATCTGGTCCCGTAAATGTTTGCTAGTTCTAGGCCCAGTCACGGTATGAGTAAAAAAACAGTTGTTTTGTTTCGTGACTAGTGTTTCTATGTTACAAATCAAATTTACAAACACAATGTATCAACTGATGTTAATTTAAGGATCCCTGTCCCACTGCACTGTGGTTTATCCTATATATACAGTAATCTCCCCTTCATTCCATTTTGGATGTAACTGTAGAACACTAGTCGGGCCAGGACACTTCTGTTGACAAGGTAGCGCAGTCTGTTAGAATGGCAATATAACAATACATGAAGTTCAGAGTTCTAATCCCGGTTTAGCCCCGCTGATTTTTTAACACTCAGAACACAGATGTTGATTATATTTAATTTTGTTAATTTCATCTTCATTACTTTTCATAGAAGTCCCGCAATTTATGCTTTTCTTTTCAGAAACGATTGATCAAAGCTATAGCCATGACCGAAAAAGAAGTTTCAAACACTACCGGTATGTTAGAGTTTTTGACAGTGGTACAAGGTTCCTTAAACCATCATATTTGTGTAATTGCACTCTGCTGAATATATCGGAGATTTTTTCATTTTTTTTTCAATTTGTGTTTCTGCATGTAAATATCACACAATATAAGCACCTAACATTCATCATTGAAATAAGTTTGGGTCTAAAACCATAATGAAATATGTTCTAACCCTTTCACCACTGTAGACCATAATGGACTCATCCAGATCAATGCATGGAAGAGTTTACTTAAGTTACATAGGGGTGAAAGGGTTAATCATGAACAGGACTGTAGAAGTACTCTCTTGTGTGTTAAGTCATCATTACTCCTGTTTAACTTATTTCAATAATAAATCATAAATATTCATTCCACTTAAGGATTCCTGCACCACTGCCAAAAACTAACTCTTGAGTTGGAAATGTTTTCACTGACATGACAACAACTTTGATGAATCAATTGTGAAAAAAACCCATAACTTGTGGAATTTTTATGAAAAATATAAAAGATGAAAAAAATAGAATAAATTGCAACAGCATTCTGAAGCCAGACCAGGATTCGAACTCGCAACTCCGATCACAATTGAGTCGTTCTAACCAACGAACTAACCGATCGGTTGTCGACCCCTGGTCCAGTCCCACTAGTTATATCCAAAACAAACCTAAGGGGAGGTTATACTGCATAAGGAATTCTAAAGCGTTCTGTCTTCAGTAGGACAGGGATCCTTAAAGCTTTAACTCATTCACCCCTGAAGACACATTTAAACTCTTCCAAATGAATGGTTGGAATAGTTCATTGTGAAATTTCAGGGGTGAATGAGTTAAGAAAATTTGTCAATCAACCATGGGTTTATTTGCATGCTATGCATTCTTTATTATAACACTAATGTACTAGTAAGAAACAGACAACCAATACATTCTGTATTCAGAATTATGATGTCATGAATAAAAGATGCCTCAGAGCTTGAATCTTACTGTTTCAGAAACCTCAGTGATTCTCTGAAAATTCAGATTCTCCTGATTTTCAATCAATACCAATTGCAAGCTGTCTCCTTTTGAGGTTTTATACATTATTGTATAATTATGTTTATCTTAACAATGCATAACAAACAACTATATTGCATACACAGGCACTATAGCTGTATAGGAGGTTTGGTTTGAAGGACAATTGAAGATTACAAAGTTTCCGTTAGCTAACATCAGAGTCCACCTTCCCTATTAAGTATATATACGTAGTCTCCTTTTGCAGGTGGTCTCTTTAACACAGGTTCAGTAAACACGGGAAATTTTCGCTCCATTTCAATTTTTGCCTTTTTGCCCTTCTTAAAAATGGGCGAATTTATCATTACAGCGAACATTACCTAACAACATAATATACATATAGTAATCAAATGTGAAGGGCAAAATTCATACTGGGCGAACATGGGTTTTACCGGCAAAAGTTTAAGCGGAAATTTTTCCGGTATATGGTAACTACAATGCCGAGCCTTGAAAAGGTGGTCCTTTAACGCAGGTGGTTTCCAGCTGAAAGACAGTCTCTTGAGTAATTTTATTTTGTGTGTTGAACTCATTCACCCCTGAAGACACATTTGAACTCTTCCAATTCAAAGGTTGGAATAGTTCATTATGAAACTTCAGGGGTACACGAGTTAAAACCAGATACTGTAGTGTGACAACCGTATAGTTTACCATAATATAAAAGAGTTTAACCACTATTTTTATATTATGTATGGCATTTTACTCTTTCTGGAAATTCTGACTGATTCGGCAACATCAAATGTAATGTCATGTATATTTGACATACAAGAAAATGGATTGCAACATGATAATGCATCAAAATAGTTAAAAAAAACAAGAGGCCCAATGGGCCTGTATCGCTCACCTGGTATAAATCTCACACTTGTAACCTTAAAAGTGATATAAAATAAAGCTACAGGCAAAATATCAGTATTTATGATTAAAATTCATTCAAAAGACCCTGTTAATTTTTTTTAAAACATTTCACCCCTGTGATTGAAAGTCGAACAAA